TCAGGTATTTTTTGTAGAACTTATTCTCAGATTTTAATTTTAATTCTTCACGGAACTTTAATCAATCATTTTTTTCACGACGACGTTGTACACAGTGAAATAGACGACAACGGTGTACACGGCGGAGTAGATGTTGGTGTTGATGTATGATGACAGTGTACACGACGGAGTAAACGATGGTATTGGTGTACATTACATAATATGGGACGTTGTAAATGTGGTGTATGTAGACCGTGTATATAGTGGAATAGGTGATGGTGTTAGTGTACGACAACGGTGTACACGGTGGAATAGAAGATGATGTTGATATACGACAACGGTGTACACGATGGAGTAAATGATGGTGTTGGTGTACGATAACGGTATTGCATTTAATGCTTTAACTCTCTCTGGTTAGTGTACGTACATGAAGCACATTGTTGCATTTAATGCTTTTATACCCGTTTTATTCAGTGTATCTTATATTCAACTACAAATGTACGTCCACATGTGGTTTCACTGTGTATACGTGACTGGTGATATAAGTGTGTTTGCGATTTCATGTTCAATGCTTTTAACTCTCTGGTTAGTGTACGTACATGAAGCACACTGTTGCATCTAATGCTTTTATACCTGTTGTATTCAGTGTACATGTTATTTAATTACATATGTACGTCCACATATGTTTTCATTGACTGTACATCTAGTGACAAATGTGTGTATGTGATTTCGTGTACAAGCGGTTGTATTGAGTGTACATGATATTCAATTACATTTGTACGTCTATATTTAGTTCAGTTAGTGTACGTGACTAGTGGCATAAAACAGGTGCATTAAATGCACGACATCTGACATAAAATATGGGCATATTCCGACATTAAATGTAATTTTAATAGACATAAAGTGAGGTGCATTAAATGCAACTTCAACAGACTAATAGTGAGGATATTTCTGTCCGAAAAGTATCTTATGTGACTTTTTTGTATGCAAAAATACGTTTGTGATAATTTTGCATTTTAGAAATGAATTTCTATGACTTTTTAGTACTCTTCTCTAAATATTATTTGATATTAAAAGTTTAATCAGCATCACTCTTACGAATACATGAGTAATTAAGATAAGTATACATTTTTGTTTGTATGTGAATGAAAAAAGAAGTTGGTTAAGTAGATGCAAACATTATTAAATTTTGACCAAACGTTTTGTTCTATTGTTGTGTTTGGTTTGGTAATGGGAGTGATAATAAATAAACAATCCGGTGGGTCCATCTAAAGTAGGTAAGTCGGTGGGCCGGTTCTCTTGGGCCTTTATGCTTAATTTGCTCCTACGTCAATGCCATGTTGAGAGTTGAGACTTGTCAACTGCTCATGACACACTTGTCAACTGCTCATGACACTTGTCAATCTTTTTGTTCATTGATTAAAACGTTAATGATGAAACGTTAGTCGGTATGGTACATTTTTCTTTTTAAGTATTCAAAGTTTCACACTCTTGAAAAAGGGGAGTTGTCTCCTCTCCAAAGTTTTGTATTTAGCAAATTAGATAGGAAACAACCAATGTGATTGACTAATGATTATCGTCTTGTATTATAACTTGGTTTACTAACGTTAACGTCGTCACCATACTATACCTAATTCAAAGATAGGCCCAAAATCCAAAAGTCCAAGCGACCACATGCTCATAAGTCGTAAACTTTGTTATGCCTAAGTTCCAAAAAATTTACAAATTAACGTCATGACTCATGATATCTCATAACTAAACCACACACAACAATTATTGGGGTTTTACTAACTTGGTTTTTGCCCAAGTACTCTTGTTTTAGAAACTACAGATACGAAATCCTCAAATCAGTTGAGGATATTCCATTTGTATTTGTTCTGTTATAGATCACGCCCTATTATCTTCATTTTTCATAATGATAAATTCTGTGGGAAAAAAAGAAAGAAAGATAAATTCTGTGGGCCGGAAATGAATGTTTAATGTACAATTAATGGTATTTAATTATAGTGTGGATTGAAAGCCCAATATAAACACCAATATTATCTCTGGCTAATTGAATCTTACAAAATTGTGATTCGCAAGTCTCATCGAATTTAAATTAGTCTTTTTTTTTAATAGTTTTCTCTTCATCGTCGGGTCTTAGCCAAAATGTTTTCATTAATTTAATCCAAACTTTCATAAACTTACTGTTATGTTAGTCTTATAAGCTGAATACGGTGCTTCACGTTTTGGTTTACTTTTCAGTAAAGGCTCATAGCAGTAAATAAATATAGTCGTTAAAAATGAAAATATTATTGTTCAAAATGATTTAAAAGTTTAGTGGATTTCGAAAGACGTCTACTAGAATGAACACGAGGAATGGCACGTGCTCCATGGAAGATCGAGTTCATTCTAGTTCGGTTTAAGTTTTGTTTTTGAAGGACCATGGGAGATTTTGTGGTGCGGTTTGATTAAGAAAATAAAATTTCCCAGCTCACCTAATTCTCTAGTTGTATCGGGTTTTTAAGATTTGTGTAGAAAACTCTTAGATTTGTATTCATTATTCACAATTTTAGTAGTAAAATAGCCTAAAGTTCATCGAGTTTATTGATCCTAAACATAGGGAAAATATCAAAGATAATTAATAGTATATAACGAAACATACAATAGCACTGCCTCTAGCCTGGTCCTCCAAACGAGTCAAACCATACAAAACACTTGAAACCAACTAAGAAAGAGCCAAAGCATATAACAATGCAACTACACAAGTCGCAACCAAACCCTCCAAAGGCTTCAACAAGGCCGTGGCAGAAGCAGAAGGACTAGCCTTTCCGCCTTCTAGGGGTGTAGTTTTGGCGGTGGTACCGTCTCCACCACCGTCTGAAGAGGCTGATCCACCACCGCCTGAAGAGGCTGCCCCAGCGACGGTAACAGAGAGCTTCATGCCACCGTCGCAGTGGCCGGGGATACCGCAAATGAAGTAGTGAGTACCAGATGTCTTGAGAGCTATTCTTGTGGTTCCGCTACTGTCGGAACTAATTGCGTTCCCCACTGTGCAACTCTTGTAGTCACTTTCGCTCACTTCGTCCACCGTGTGACCCCCACCGTAGTTGAACACTATATGCAAGCCAATTTAAACACACATATTACAACTATGCATAGCTATGAATGATTTGGATTGTTTGTATTTTTGTTTGCGTTTTCATGGTAAATTTTTCCAAATGAAACCACAATTTAATATTTCCAACAACAAAAATATTTATGTAAGTGGTAAACGCAAACGGATTTTACTTTACAAAGTAGATGATAAAAACGGAAAAAAATGGTGTTACTTTTTGAAAATGTAAGAGTTTCACATGTTAAGGCAAATGAATATATTGGTATTTGAAACAATCGCAAACTATGAGAGGC